CCGATGTTTCGATGGTCCACCTGAGCCATGTGCCGATGTGTTTTTGATTTGATTCAGCCCGCGACATCGTGGGACTTTGTTCCTGGGATCAAGTATCACGGTGGCTGACTTGGGTGGTCACAGAATGCCCAGTTCATTGCGCTTGTGTTCTGGGGAGTGGTGCTCCGAAAGGAGGAGCAGAACGTGGTGGATATTTGTGGTGAACTGGGAGATGTAGTCCATGTACCGGGTCCCGCGTAGAGAGTGTCGGTCGCTGCTGGACGAGTTGGCATGGGTCAGCGGGTTATGGTCAGTGAGAATGATCAGCATTGACAACAACGGCAGAACAAAGATGCGTCTCCAGCTGATAGCCCATTCAGTAACGCAGTTTCAGCGGTGAACAAAATAGACTATGTAGTACAATTTGGACACTTGAAGACATTGAGGTTTGCCCGCTGCGTAATACGCGGTAGATTTCTCTTCGCCAAATAATGAAGAGATATTTTGTATAGCACTAACAAAATAAAAATCGGTTCGTTGAAATCAAAGACGTGCTCTTTTGCCCCTCACATTAAATCCTAGCGGAGTATAGGCATAATGAACTCCAACAATGCTGTGATGTCATGGGCCGTCGCCTAATTGGTATCTCTGGATGGCTTTACCTGGTTTCACGGCCTTGGTCCAGCCTACAGATATGAACAATCAACACAAAACACGCAGATATGACGTAAACTAGACACTGTTCTGGAGCGTCTGGCATGGCTGACATGGCAACCGATGGCTGCTCGGCGCCGCGGAGGCGTATCGGTCGAGCTGGCAGCCGGCCCGTGTGATGGTGCAAGACCGAACTATGCAACGCTTCGATTCACAGCTGTAAACAGCGCTAGGCACGCTGTCAAACGCTCGACGTTCGCCGGGAAATACGTCTGGCCAGCCAAACATTACCGGCACGACCGTGTGTGCCTGACCCGATCCTGCAAAACCCTGCAGAATCACGACTGGCTGGTGGTGTCGGAGGCCAGACTGGTGAGAAGTGCTGCAGTGCAACAGATAACTGCGGATTTCGGGGAGCGGGCCCGTTGCGAGGTGTTGCAGCGCCCAGCTGGCTGTGGAGGTTTCGGGGATGATGCCAGTGCGAAGTGCTGCGACGCCACATCTGGCTGTGGGAATGTTATGTAGCCAAGGCGGTGCCGGCCAGGCGGCTAAGGTGCCAGATCACCTCCCACCACCTTGACTAAAATTGAGCTGAAATTTCTCGTGCTAAGTTAACCGAGCTGCGCTAATCGTCAAGAGTGCAAGGGGGCAGCAGCAAAATATCATACTTGAAAATTATACGCGTGAATTCGGAAAAATCCTCCAAGTCTGCTCAGACATTGCGGCTAAAAGGAGTAATAATCAGAAATAAGCTCCCACCAACCCATAGACAGTTCTACGCCAAAGGCTGCAAGAAAACACACGCAGCTAAACGAGAAGTAACCCGCGAGTATCATTTTAGAAAATTACTTGCTACGATCGCCAAGTTCCACGAACGTAACCTGTACCCAAGGAACGTGCGGAACCTGAAATTGCTGTTTAATATCGCCGTTCCGCATTTGTATGAAGTTTTGAGCTGATATAGCGAGCCTGAAAAGAATTCCCTGCAACTCAAAAGCTGTCCTCTGTAAGACTCAAGCTCTTTCGTTTTTGTGCAAGGTGCACACGAGCTTGTATAGACTTTTTCGCGCCGGACCGCTGACCCCCCGGTGTTCAGTCCGACCCCCCAACGATGAGTTTGCCCCCACCCCCAACCTTCTGGAACCCAAGCTCATGTAGGACCTAACAAAAAAGCTCAATATTATACGAAATTTAAAAAAGGCACCTACCAATTGTTTCACAGGACAAAGAAGCAAAGAAAATGAAAACTGCACTATCATGTCCATTTAAGAGCACCTGACTAAGTTTGTCACACTTTGAAAGCCCCGCGGTCGATCCGTGTATATTCGCGTTTTTTCTTTCGTTTTTCCTGCATGCTGCATGCTTTTAACCACGCGACTTATATCTATGGTTGACTATAGTCTAGTTTTGTGCTTTTGTGGGAGTTTTTTCGACGTTATTCAGCGATGTTTGAGTCATACAGACCGTAGCAGTCCGCGTTATTTTGCGACTGCATCCTATCAAAGATGAAAACAAAGCGGTATAAAGTTACATTTACGAAATTTAAAGAAGGCCTGTACCAACTGTTCCACAGGTCAAAGAACCAAA